TTTTCTTACAGTGCAGATCATACTTCAACCTTTTGACTCAAGAAATTATCATATTTTAAATAAATTGGAAACTTATAGCATGTTTGCTTGGACCATTACTCTGATGACTTTTGTCTTCCTAACAGTGTCTAGTGCTGATGCAACCATAAATTTCTATGTGCTACTATTTCTGTTATTTTTTAATTTCATATTTGTAGCTAAAGTTTTGATAGCTCTATGTTATTCATACATAGAAAATTTAAGACACATAAAAAAGCATGTTAAAATTCCATTTTTAAATAATTTTTTTGAAAAAATGGCAAAGATAGCTGAGGAAAAATATTATAAAGAGCCTATAGTTTCCCTGAACACTCGAGACAACTCTATTCAATTTATGAGGAAATACAGAAGATATCCTTTACGCAAGCATCGTTTGTTAACGAATGAGGAAAAAAACTACTTTCTTAATGTTTTATCTAACTTTATATATTTTGGAGTGTCCAACTTAAACTTTACCATTTTCCATTCTCATTTTATGGAATTTATGTTAAGACTATCAGTCATTGATAATGAAATGCTTCATAAAAGGGGTAAAAGGGGAATTTTAAAATTAATTGCCAAAGATCCCCAAAATATTGACGAATGGATAAAAATTAAGGAATCAGAATTAAACAAAAGCACCTTTTTCGAAAGACATAAAAAAATATTGAATTTATTTACCAAAAATATGCTTATTATTCAAAACAACATCAAGAGTATCATATATCAAGGAGATAAGCACACTATCATTTCTGATTATGAAGTGTTGATTAATGTCTTAAAATACGACGAAGATTTTATCACCGACTTTAAATTTTTATATGATGAGGACGCGGTGAAATCAGGATTGACGCTTTCTGACTTACAGTTGTCTTTTACTAAAATTAAAATGAAAGATAAGGGATTGATTATGCAGTTATTTTCATTGTTTATTGCCAAGAAGAATATTGTACAGTTTGAACGAGACGTTCACCTTAAGAATAAAATTGAACAGCTTAAAACGTTGTATGATATCCTCATAACGGCAAATGAAAAGAAGAAAATTACATTTAGAAAAAATTTTGAAGATGCAGTTAAAGCAGACCCATTTGATTATAGGACATTACAAAATGAATTAGAAACACTAAATGAAAGAATAAACAATCTAATTGACAACTATCAAAAGCTAAAAGATGCAAATTATTACCAGGATGAATGTGATTATAACAACAATGCGGCTTTGAATAACAATTCAGAGTTTTTTGATAATAATTTAAAAGAACTCAGCTTTAAAGAAGAAACTAATGACGAACAGAACATAGGGAACGCCGAAGAAGGGGACAATATTATACAAAATGAAGATACTAACGAAGATAATGTGGGTAATGAAGATGGGAAAGAGGAAAATAAAATGAAAGAACAGAAACGAAGCTAACAAAGAAAATTGTCCACAACATTGAAGATGAAGATGCATAAATGTTTACCAACAAAATGCATAAAATTTCATATGCTTTCTACTGCTTAATTCTATTTTGAACAAATTTATAAATGAAATATTTTTCTACATTTGTGTGGAATGCAACTCCTCCTTTTCTTAAAAGAAAAGCGATTTTATGTTATACCTTTTTTTTTTTTATTTCCTTCAACTTGAAAGTTTTGTTTTAACACATATTTCAACATATTGTTGTTTACTTTTTTAAGATTACTCTTGTTATTACCAAAGTGGGTCTCTAAAAATTCTGATATGTTTTTTTATAAATTAACACGTAAAGCAAATTGTATTTTCAACAGTCTCGATTCTTATAATATACATATGAAGGAAAAGACAGTTTTAAAGTAGACAATTTTGTCTAAGTGTTTTTTTCTTCTTAAAATATGTTCTATTTCGAAATATCTTATGAATTGAATAACATTGTAGCCCTCTACATATATAAAAAAGGTTAACTTCAATTGTGAGTTACAAATATAATACACTTTTCAGATTATAGCAGAGGTGTGCGTAATGATTCATTTAAGCTACATTTACAGATTATTAAAAAAGGAGCACTGTATGTCAATTTGTGCTAGACAGTTAAGGGTAGTACATTAAACGAAAAAAACATAGGTAAAAAATTATCAACAGTATATTTATACTTGTACATAAACGTTAAATATATGTTTTATTTTTAACATAAACAATGCAAAACAGAAAAAAAGACTTATATAGCACATAATACAATAAAAAGAAGTTATCTGAAACATCCATACACATGAATGTTGTTTGTTATAAAATATGCTGTCTTTTTAATACCAGTTAATGCATACACTATGTCATATGTGACATTTTTGTTCATAGCAAGAATTTTCATACATGTTCTAATGCCTATATTAAATCATTTTTTTAATAAACATTGTGTATTGTATTAAAAGGGGGAAAAAATGTTATAATGGTTTATTCAAATTAACATTTACTTTTATACGTCATAAAATAATTTATAACCCTTAAAAAATGAACAATCAAACTTATGAAGTTCTTTATAATTACTTGGACAAAAAATTGATTATTTTTATATTGATGCTTATTTAAAATAATTATTTCACTAAATGCTTTATTAATTTTATTTTTTTAAAAGACAAAATTATATCTATGAGTCATTTAAAAATTTATATACGTATAAAATATATACTAGAAAAAACTGCAAATTATTTATTAATATAAAATTATAAATAATATTAAATAAATAAAATAAAAATATAACTAAAAAAATTACCATTAAGTATATATAATATTAAAATATAATAATAATTTGTTAAATTAAACATATTATAAATTATTAGAAATATATTTTATTAAAATAAAATAAATAAACAATTAAATTTATATTATTATAATTAATATAAATGAATAAAACAATATATAACGTAATTAATTTTAATAAAAATATAATTAATTCTGACAAAATAATATTGTAAATAAATAATTATAATTAAATAAAATATGAATAAATAAAATTAAATTAAATAGCATAATATATATAACAAATATATAATTTATTAAACATATATATATTTTTTAATTAATTTAAAAAATAATAATTAAATAAAAATAGTAAAATATATTGTATCATTAAAATACATATTATATAAAATATTAAATAAATGTAAAATATGTAATTTAATATATATATTAATAAAGAATATTTAATTAACCATTAATTTAAATTAATATTGTGTAATAAAAATTAATTATAATTTAAAACACAAATGAATATATTTAATCAATTTGTAATAAAATTAAAATAATACAATATTAATAACATATATTAAATACAAATAAAATAATTTTATAATATTTATTTTAATTAATTTAAGTAATACATATTGTTAATATTTGTTGTATTTTTATAATAATAATTAATATAATTTAATAATTATTTTAATAAATTAAGTAATAAAACTGTAATATTTAAATAATTAGTTATTTTAAATTAAATATAAAGTATTAAATAAAATATATTTTATGATTAAAATAATTATATAATTTATTATATATAAGGTAAATAATAATTTAATTAATTCTATCAAACAAATAAATTATAAATATATTTAATGTTATTGTTTAAATAAAATTAGCTAAATAATTAATTTTAATACATATATTTATAATAAATTAAATTATTATTAAATAACATGCAATAATAAATCAAAATAAATTATAATAAAATAATTTAATTAATTTAATTATTATTATATATTACAATTAATTAAATATAATATAATTAAAGTACTGTTTTATTATATAATAAGAATAAATATTAATATGTTGAATAATTATTTATTATAATGCGCATAATTAATTATTTATTAATTATTTCATTTTATTTAATTATGTTAATTACTTTATTTAATACTAGACTATTCATTTTAAATTAATATAATAACAATACTTAAAATAAAATTAAATAAGTACTAATTAAAGTCTTAATTATATTAATAATTTAATAAATATAATAATCAATTATATACTTTAGAATTAATACCTTTGATAAAATAAATAAAATATATGTTTTCTTTATAAATTTATTTTTTATTTAATTAAAATATAAATTAATTAATTTTAATATATTTCATAATGTGTATACTTAGTTTAATTATAAATAAATTTATTAATATTTTATAAATCATTATTTGTATTTATTAAATATAAATATTTAAATTAATAATAAATTTAATTAAAAATACTTAATTATAATAATTAATATTTATTTAAAAATATTAAATAAATTAATATTTAATAAAATAATAATTTTATAATACTATATAATTAACATTTTATTTTTTTAATATATCAAAAAAATAAATTAAATTAATTATTTATTTTATTATAACAATTTTAAAATTATAATTAAAATATTAATTTTATTAAAAAATATATATAATATAATGAAATATATTTATTTATGCTTAATATAATTAAAATACATTTTTAATATATTTTTTATCTATAATTAAATTATTAAATAACTGCATTAAATATTTATACGCACGTTATAAATTAAATTTATATATTAAAATATAAATATAATTTCAGAAAATTAATATATTTAATATAATTAATATATAATAAATGTTATTTAATTTAATTTAAAACAAATAATATAGTAAGATATGATTAAGAAAATAATAATGGATAATACTTAGTATTTTTAATTACATTTTTATAACATAGTTATGCATAATCAATATATTTAATTACAGTGAAGTCATTATGTAAATAAAATGTTATGTGTCTAATTTAATACAAATTAATAGTATATATATTTATATGTATTATTAACATACTAAATTTTTTTAAATACACGAATGTGTTCCTAATATATCATTATGGAAATTGCATATGTGTGTATAATGTTTACGTTCTAATGGACAATTATGATCTAAGAAAAGAAGAAATACAACTTATTTTAAAATATGATATTTTTCTTTTATGAGTTATTTTTTACCTTGTTTATACTTCATTATCGATGACAAAATATGCCAGAAATATCCTAATAAACATTTGCGACATAACCATGAATGAACATTTTGGAATGTTAATTTATTAAAAAATCGCCTGTGAAATTGAAAGAATATTCAGCTTGTTCGCATTATTAAAATAAGACAATTTTGCAAAGTGACAACATTTTTAAGATTTTATATATCCATGCAAACATGAAAAGAGTTATGGAAAAACACGTTTCAAATATTAACATGTAGAAGTTTCGTGAATTTGTTTTAGACTTTTTTTCGGTTTCGTGCACTTTAAAAAGGAGGAAAATGGGAGAAGTCATAAAAAGACACTTTTCCTTAGATACAGGTATGCATCCAAAAAGGTATTTTTAGAATAACTAATTTCCGAAAAACCTTCATTATACATGTTTCTGTTTTTGGAATTTACAACGAGAAATTATAATTACAACATAATGCATTTATGAAAATATTTTTTCATTTGTTCTCAAGACAGCATGTGATATTGCTTCCAAAAAGGTCAAACCTTAGGAAAAATCACCGTTCTATTTGTCGTAACCACAAATGGAAGTAAAACGTGGTGAAGACATTAGACAAGTGCACTTTCTAAAAATTCACGTTTTTCATTACTTTGTAGAACCTGTGTAAGCATTAGTCTTTACTTTGTATTGAAACGGCAAAGCCACAACTGTGTAGAAGATGAAACAAAAAACCCAGAAAAATGTTAATTGCCTACTTTTAAAAACATGTGTATGCATATTACCTTAAAAAATGAACATAATGCAAAAATATTATGATACATTTAAAGTTATGTAAATTGACCTGCATAAGCGTATTATATTCGTGTAACTAAAAAATGTAAAAAAAACCTAAAGCCCCAATATGGGATGTAATATCTAAATCACGAAAATATATCATATAACCTTTCGACATGATTCCAACTACTGATGTAGCCAAGGCGCTTAAAAGCTTTCTTTTTTTTTAACTTAATGTCTAATTCGGAATTTAGATTTGGTAATTGAAAAGGGGTTAATAACTCCAAAACGAGTGCATAAAGAAAAATAAATGATATAAATTAATTGTGACTTTCAGTGATTTCGAAGAATTGTGTTGTACCTGAAACATTTTATAAGCATTATTTTCAGCATAAATCCTTTGGGGATATATATGTTAAACATAGAATATATAAACAAAACCGATTATGTTATACACATGTAGAACAACTGTTTGAGAATAATGATGTTTTGGAGATTCCACCATTTTGGTTGTTATAATATATTTGTTTAATTTATCATTCTATTTACTTATTTACGCGTGGAATAATACGTAGTGTAATAAACTGTAAGCCATCTTTTAGATTTAGAATGGTGAATAATTCATAATATATTATTTAAATATGTGGACATTAAAACAACTATGAACATGGTGCAAATTATAACATGTTTTTCGCAATGGATACACGAACAAAATGAAGTTGTTTTTTTCGTACTTCCATAGGTTGCATAAATGTCTTAGAAAACCGTAAACCATCTATATTTGTATTTTCTTAATAAAATGTAAGATTTAATTATTCTAAATCTAGAAAAGTGTATAACAGATTTGCATAATTGTGAAATATGTAAAAATTATGGGTATACATATGCATTATATGTGTCCAATGCAAAATTCAGTAGGTATTTCTATCTGTTCTATTCAACTGAACTTGGTAACTTCCTTTTGGACAGAAATGAATAAAAGGAACGTTTTTTTTTATTAGGCATCATCCGAAATACTAAGTGTTAATTAAAAAGATATGGTGTAACCCCCCTTCGGCATGTAGCGTAACATCCGTCCGTATGATTTAACATAACACATATATACTTTAAGGGAAAACATACATTTTCATGTTTCTAAATTATGCATATCATTTTTTTGCATCACTTTTTGCATAAGCAGCTAAATTGGTAAACCAATTGCAAACATCTTCGCAATTATAACATCACATATTAGTCTTAATTTCACCGAAGTTTTACATAAAAATTCATGAATTGTCTAAAATGCTGAAAATATGAATAACATCTTGCTTTTGCAGCAACATCTTAGATAACAGTTCAAAGAGCTCTTCGTAAATTTTCTTTGATGACACCTATGTAACAATTATGCATTATTGCTCTACACTAGCGAATATATTTAACATGCTTTCCTTTAATAATAAAAATGAGATGGCGTAACACTGCACATTTAGTTATATGACAAAAGTGACATAAATTGTTTAGGCTTAAGCGAAGGAAATACTAATTATCGACAAAGGTTTAGAACAAAATGATGAATTGCATGTCGCACATTTATTACGAAAAATGAGGGATAACTATAAAAATGTATTCTAATAAGTATAAATTATGTAATGGAACTTAAAGTAGATAACAGTACTAATTTGTTTTATTTTATTTTTTTGCTGCCACGTGTGTATCATTTTATGGCAAACTGTGAGCCAGCTGAGCTTAAAGGAAACTGTTTTTTTACGTGCCATTTTTGTTAAAAACAGATGTACTGCATATGGGAAGAACATATTTGCAGCAGTCTGCTATGCATCTGCTCCCAGTTTTATTTTGCCATTTTTCACATTATGTTTGTTTCTCCTCTGGTAAAGTTAGCTTTAAAATATGCTAGTAAATTAAAGAAAAACGGTAGGGTAAAAAAAATGTGCCTTAAAAAATGACAAATGTGTGAGCAATGTGTAATTCAATCTTTTTAAAATAGAACGAATGCAGAGCAATGGAAGCTCCATTACGGCCACTGAGATGGGCATTGTTATAAAAATGTACAAATATACATGATAGATTGACAGATAAATAAAAAGTACATGTGTTTGCTTTTTTAACAATAAGGCAAAAAGTGTAAAACAGCGTCGACGGTGTAAGGCGTATTACGTTTCAAGAGAAAGTGATACGTATTTCGATAGCTACAAATAGTCATCATCGCTATTCCCCCCCAAAAACAAAACTACGGACAAATTTTGCAATTTTAAAATTGAAATTATAAAAGTTGTGGCCCTCTTTAGAAATATATGCCCGTATGAAAGGCAAAACATGATGATGTGAGAAACAATATTGAGAATCCGTGTTCCATTCATTTCACATTTCGGATGTATGCTGGTCACACCTACTTTAAAAGAAATTTACGTCAAAGTAGGTATTCTTTTATTTTTGCAGTAACTGCACACTATGTAAGCATCTGGCATAGTAAGGTAGAAAAATATATATATGGGAACTGAAATGTGTATTTTAGAAATACGCGTTTTTTCCCCCCCTCCTTTTGCATACACTTTGATGCTAAGTAAAACGTGGGAATATGCAATTATGTGGGAAAAAATTATAGATTTAAAGGTGTATATATATGCTGGTAAATTTTGTTGCATTTACTGAAAGAAAAATGCGTACAGGCCTAACTTTAAAAACGTCTCGCTAGGTGATATGTTAAGCGCAATAGTATGCCTACACAGGGGAAATTTCTAATTATATAGAACATGGTAGGCCGGTTTATTAAACTAAGTTTTCATGCCAAAAAAAAAAAAAAAAAGCAGCGAAAAGGATTGCTGTGTTTTTATTATGCCCTTTAAAAAAAAAAAAGGACTACGCATATATATGTATACATATAATGGAAATGTATTGTTGTACACGCACAGGGATGGTAAAAAAAAAAAA